CTGCTATACAGCCTCAGCCTGCTACACAGTCTTTACCCACTTCTGGAGCCAGTAGCCCACATTTCTACTCAGCAGACCCCCGATTTCCTTCACCAGATCCTGGGCAGAGTACTCCTTTCTACCCATGCTACGCACCTCCACCTTATGCTGGTGCCCCTCCTACTTATCCATTTACACCATATGCTCCACCATATTATCCCCCACCACCCCATCAGCCTTCTTCAGCTGGACCTTCGACAGCAGCTGGACCTTCGACACCAGCTGCACCTTCGACACCAGCTGCACCAGAGCAGGCGACAGATGATAGAATGTTAATAGCACCTGAGGGTGACAAGTACGTACTTCATCTTTTATTTAAGATAATGAATATTTATATTATATATTTGTTTCACATAAAATTTTTTTTGTAGGTTCTACCCATCAAAACAACCGACACATAAAATATAACACATCATACGGAGCAGGTTTGACGCTCCTTATGTTTCTTGGAAGAAAGTCCCAAAAGAAGTCCGGGAGATGTGGTTTAGAGAGTTTGAGGTATTTTTGGGTTTTAGTTTTTATGTAAAATGATTTATTCTTTTTAACTTAAGCTAAAAATCTTATATATTATATATCATATGTATTTGAATGAAGAAAGAATTTTGTTGGCTGCCCCAACATAATGACAAGATTAGAAAGAATTTTGAGAAGCGTGGGTCTACTCTGATGCGCGACATGTTCACAGATATTAGAAAGTCTGGGAAGCAACCATTGTGGATTGGAGAGGATAAATGGGCTGAGTTGAACACTTCTTGGGGCAGCGAAGAGTATACTAGGAAGAGGGATCAAAATCAACATAACAGAGCTTCTAATGTTGGGAGCTTAGGTAGTTCACTTCATACTAGCGGCTCCATTCCACATACTGAGCACAGGAGTCATTTGGTAATGAATTTAAATTTTTTCAAAATTGTTCTTTAATACAAATATTAATAAAATTATCTTAATTCTAACAGAAAGAGATGCTTGGTAGAGAACCAACTCCTGTGGAATTGCATAGTCGCACTCATAAGAGACAGGAGGATCAACAATGGATTGATGAGAGAGCAAGAGAAGCCCATGTAAGTATATATTTATATGTGCTGAATATTTTTTATTTTTAGTTTAATTATATATATTTATATTCTACTTTCACAGGAGGAATATATACGGCTTCGAGAGACTCATGTCGCATCAGGTGAGGGCTCTTCTGGCGGCTCTGTGGAGTATTCTGAGTATCGCATCTGGTCGCAGGCCGTCAGAGGAATGTAGTATGGTAGAGTTTATGGTTTAGGTGTGCAAGCTCAGGCATACGAGGGGATGAGCTCCTCTACTGCATCCAGCTTCGCATCCAGTTCTTATGACTCCTTACAAGCTCAACAAATAAGTGCCCTTCAAGCTGAGCTAGAACAAGTAAGGAAATCATAAGCTGATTGGCAAGCTCAGTTGCAAGCACGGGTCTAAATGCAGATGCAGATGTAGGAGCAACAGAATCAGTTATTGGATGAAATGCGTAGAATGAGGGAGCAGATGAGTGGAAAAGAGACAGCTATAGCTGAGGAGGAGTCCATAGATTCAGAGTAGTTCACTTTAGTCATTTGAACTTGTTTATTTATGTGAACATGTGTTAATGAACCATTTGTGATGTTCTTAGTTTTTTTATGCTATCGAATAATGTTAACATGGATATTTATGTTTTTGAAGGAACATTTATGTTTTTGAGTATATGTTGAAGTTGTTTATATCTGTTATGTGTATAGCTGTCATATGGAAGTGTTTTCGTATAGGTTTGCAGGTGTGGAAATTTGATTGTTGGCTGGGAAGACAATTTTTTCTTGTCGATGCTACAGGTTTCCGGAGGATTATGCGTCAGAAATTTGACAAAAATGATGATACAATGAAGTGGATCGATAATGTCGGCGTCTTTGTGTGCGCCAAAAATCACCGTCACCTATTCCGGTGTTTTGTTCGCCGGATATTTCCGACGCAGAGGTTGCGCCGGAACTAAGCCATTGCTTATTTATGGCGCCCTTACAACGACTTATGCGCTGGTAGTTTCTATCAGATCCATACGATGAAAACTACCGACGCATATGTCGTCGGAATTATGGAATGAAAATCGACGTCATTCATGTCGTATTTTGCGCCGGCAATGCGCCGGAATGGTTACCAGTGGATTATACCCATCAGTAAATATTTAGCTATGCTCGCTAAACCGGCGGATGAAAATCCGACGTAAATGCATCGAAAACTAAAGATTTCGGTCGGATTTAAAAGGTTACCGGCAGATACGGTCCACCGGTGATGGCGTGTTTTCTTGTAGTGAATGAATTTAGCGGTGTTCGAACCCCACCCCTTTGCACGCGTAAGACTTCCACATCTCCTGCTATCTAACCCTTAAATGAAGACTGTTAAATCTGAGGCTTTTTTTATTTAAGTTATAACTTACAAATTATTTAATATAATTTTAAAAAAGAAATTATTATAAAAATTTATTATAATTTAAGTTTTAATTTAAATCATTTAGTTTTTGTTATTAAATAATTAAATTATAATTTAAGTTATTAAATTCAATAATTTAAGTTATTTTTTAAAATATTAAAATATTTAATTTAAATAATTTAATTTAAGCATAAGTTATTAAAATATTACTTTTTTTTATTTTCCATCGGAAATTTGGTCGAAATTTTGCAGGAACCACCTTAAAAAAAACATTCAAAAAATATGACAAAAATTTGTAAAATATTTTTCGTCAAAAATCTGCCGGAATTTTTGACGAATTTACTTCCGCCAAAAATTCTACTGGAAATGAGCTGTTTTCCTATAGTGTAAGTCGCTCTTATCATGAGCTTGAACTAATTTAGCTTTATTTGATTCTGAGTTTTATTGAGCCTTAAAGACGAAGCTGTACAAGGCCTCGAGGTCCTCAAATTGGAGTTGGGCACTCTGCTCAGTCGTGGGTTGAACTCAAATGAACGTTCCCAATATTATAAAATACTCATCTAGTGGGATTGATCTTGGACCCAGTATATAATGTAATTTTATTAAGAAGGCCTTGAAGGAAAAGATGCCTACATGTAAGGACATATACACATTCCTTAAGGAAGGGGTTTGAATTTTTTATAAGTATTAGAAGATTCATTATTTCTATTGAAAATTTTCCTCTAGCCATTTAGACCCTGTCGGAATGACATGTGTGAACAAATTTGCAAGTATAGTGAGAAGTAGAGTAGACTCCAACTAAACTAAGAGGATTTAAGTTTTGATGACCCAAACCAAGTTTCATATAAACTAAACTGGGGTCTCCCTTAAATATTTTGAATTAAAATCAATTTCAAAAGGATTCAAGTTAGAGGTAGAAATTTGATTTGTTTCAATTCTCTTGCGTGACATTCTTCTGTCTGATAGATAATTCATGCATGATTAAGAATCCGGATTAAAGATTTTCAATGTCAAGTGTTTAAAGGTGATTAGGTTTTCTTTTTCTGAGATTTAAGGATTTAAAAGAAGGAAGAACTCTTACTCTTCTTTTCTTTTTATGGTGGTACATTTTATGCATCTTTTGATTGATTTTGAGCATTCATCCATCTTTTGACTTTTGTGCATTCACACATCTTTTTATTTCAATTAATTTTGAGAAGAGTCTTCACATTCTTTAAAATCTCAAAATGATCTTTCACTTATTGAATGCTTGGATTTTATCATAAGTATTAGAGAAGAAAACCCGTTCTCTTATACAAGGAAGAATAATCCTCAAAGTAGACCCAATTTTTTGACGTGAATGTCAACTTGACTACGAAAATCTTTGAAAAGATTTTAGACATACGAGAATCGCCTATTAGGATAGAAGATTACTAGAAGATTTATAAAATTTTAATTTCTAAAATTAACTTAAGTTTGATATGAATTTTAATTCAAAAGTTAATTTAACCCATAGAAAGATGGTAGGGAAGGACATTTAAATATTTGATATCTCTCCTACTTAAGAATTAAGGTAAAGGTCAATTTGATTAAAAAGGTGAATCAACTATCTTGATTATCCAGACCCAGTACACTTGAGAAATTGATAAGTCTTCCTTAAAGGTTGCAAGTATAGGTGGCATTACCATTATGAATATGAAATTGAATTCCTACAATTTCTTTAGAGGGAGGGACTGTTATAAGGTCTGCACTACCTAGTTGATATGGCATCATTACAATCAAAAGTGTATCATGATAGGACCCCGTTGAAATTTAAATTTCAACAGTATCACTATCTAACACAATCTTAGATTATTTCCCCTCTCTCATTACTATTGGGTTAGTAGTTAAGAAAGTGGCACCCCGAGTGATTTCTACTCCTCCCCCTCTATAGGTGATGTAGTGTAACACGTATAGTAATGCACCCTAACATCTTCTAATAGAGTGGAGGGATCATAACCCTCAATTAGGGGCCATGGCTTATTGTTGGTGATCATTCAATTCTGGTCTGTTTGAGTCTTTCAGAGTAGTAGTCAAGAAGGGGTATCAGAGATTGCGCTCTCATTTTTATAACCTCCTTCCTTTGAGTAATAGGAGAAGTGATTTCCACCCAGGAGGGAGTATGTGTAAGGAGCAAAGAATTCTCGATCAGCCTCAAATTTGACCTTCTTTAAGGTTTTAGACTCAGCAATCTTTTTGGCCTTAACCACAAACTTCTTTCTGACTCTACAAAGTTAGTTCTTTCTCTTGTCCCTGCCAACAACAGGGTGCTAGAACTTGATCCGATCTCAGATTGAGATGGTAGCTCTTCTATCGTTATTGACTTTTGATTCTTATCCTCCTGAGTAGAGGGTATAGTGGATACAAGGGTGACAACGACCTCCATCTTAGAGATGGTGGAGTCAGCTCCTAACCTTAAAGAAATCTCAACTAAGGGGAAATCTTTTTGAATTCTAGTGGACAGATCAATTATTGTTTACCAATTAATTGACATCATCAAGTTTTAAAATTCCATTCCAAACTAGATTGAATTGCCACAAAAAACTTCTTCCATAGGCACATCCCTATCTAGTGAGAAGGTGAGTTTCCCTGCCATTTGAGTATGTTTGATTTCCTGGAATTAAGAAAGTGTCTTAGATTAATTGATCTTGAAATTGAGTTTGAATTTTGAGTTTGATTGATTTTATTCAAAATTTTATAACTCAATCATGTTCAGTTTGCACTGAATACAGTGGTTCATAAAATTGACGAATGGAGCTTAAGGGTTGAACTTGATGCTTTTGACTGGAGGGTGACAACGACCTCCATCTTAGAAGGAACATGATAATGATGATTGAAATTTGTTTAAAAGATTTTAGGAAAGTTTTGAAAGCTCAAAAATCTGGCAGAACTTCTTGAAAGTGCTCTAATGGCACTAGAAAGTTTGACAGGGATGTTATGCCCTTATGAA